CAGGTTGGGCCAGATGTACAAATTTCCCCTAACGTTTAAAAAAAAAATTTTTAATAAACTACCTCATCAGCCCAAAAGGCAAAGTTGCGGAGCTTAACCCACAATAATGTCTGATACATCCAAACAACTTGACCCTCCCTGCCGTTTTTACATTTAAAGCGACAACCTGGTAACGATCCCAAAACCCAAAACCCCCCCCTATACTTGGGGCAGTTAGGGACTTTTAAAAAAATTCTAAATAAACCGTTCATTCCACTCCATATAAAACCCGCCCCTGATGCCATATGTCTCACGATAATTTTTGGGCCCAAAAACACTCGACTGACGTAGGGGTTAAAGCCCCACTAATAATTCAATGCCCAAGGTTTAAACACTCTCCCGGGCGGAAAACCTGGCCCAAGTCGTTGACTGATTAACTCGCTGGAAAACAGAAAAGGGGTTTCAAAGCCCCGACCACACTCCCACCTCATCCAGGCAAACGAATGCACCAAAAACCTCCTCGACCCCCTGGGGTCAGGGGTTTCTGAGGAGCGTCAGGCAAGGGGGCCCCAGGCCCAAAAGCGATGCAGAAAAATGCTAACAAACAAGTATAGGAAGGGGGCGAAAGAATCAAGGAGACATCCCCCGACAAAATAACACCACAAAAAAAAATTTACCAAAAAAAAACAGATTCAATCTTTCCATCCGGATATCAAATCCTCAGGAAAGACAGAGGGAGGAGAAGGGGAGGAGGAGTTTGCATGTCATTAAAAACCAGTGGGGGGTTGGGGAAAATGGAAGGAAATGGATGGCACGGGCAAAAGGGACTACTTAGTAGGAACAATCCAGTCTGAGGGAATAAGGTGATAATTGCAGTAATGTACAACCCACCACAGAACTGCAGGGGGCCCAAGAGAAGAATACGATGAGAGCAACAGAGCAATGGTCGACCACACTAGCCGAGGTGGCCGGGGAGAGACACATGGGGGGACCCAAAGTTACTAGTTATGGGTGATTTCATCACAAGGAGATTGACTGGGAAAACCTGGAGCCCCATGGGGGTCCCGAAACAGGGGAGAGCCAGATGATGGATGTGGTACTGGAAAACTCATGCATCAACATGTTAGAGACCCCACCAGAGAGCGAGGAGAGGATGAACCAGCAAGACTGGACCTTGTATTCACCTTGAGTAGTTCTGACATCGAGGATATCATGTATGAAAGGCCCCTGGGAGCTAGTGATCATGTGGTTCTGTGCTTCGACTACATAGTTGAGCTCCAAGTGGAGAGAGCAGCAGGAATAGGGGGGGAAAAAACCAAACTTTCTAAAGGGGGAACTATCAGGCTTGAGGAACTTCTTTCAAGACATTCAGTGGGAGAGGGGAAATGACAGGAAAACCAGTACAAGAAATGATGGACTATGTGGCAAAAATGCAGGAGGGCAGTGGAAAAGGTTTGTTCCCAAGGGAAACAGAAATAATTGGGAAGAACAGAACGGTCCTTGGTTCACCCCAAAAGGGGTAGGGAGACAAAAACTAGGTGTACTAGAAAATGGAAAAGGTACAGAGACAGAGAACTCAGGAAAATAAGATTAGGGCCCAAGAGTCAGAAACGAATATGCACAGATAAGAAGGGAGGGGTCCCGTGGCAATACGAAAATGACATTGCATCGAAAGTCAAGGGCTGACCGAAGCTGTTGTACAGCCACATCAGGAGGAAACAAAAAGTCAAGGGGCCAGGTAATCAGACTGAGGAAGGGTGATGGGGAATTCACAAGAAACGACGGGAGGTATGTCAGGAGTCAACACAAGATTTAAAGAAGTATTTACAGAGGAAACCAGTAGGACTCCAGGAAATCAGAGCACGGGGGTGCACCAGCAAGTGCTGGATGAGGTACATATAACCAAGGAGGAGGTGAAGAAGCTGCTATGCGAACTTGACACCTCAAAGGCGGTGGGACCAGACAACATCTCTCCGTGGGTCCTTAAAGAGGGAGCAGAGATATTGTGTGTACCGTTAACAAAGATCTTCAACACATCATTTGAAACTGGGCAACTCCCTGAGGTATGGAAGATGGCAAATGTAGTCCCAATTTTTAAAAAGGGAGACAGACATGAGGCACTAAACTACAGACCTGTATCACTAACGTGTATAGTATGCAAGGTCATGGAGAAGATCATCAGGAGGAGAGTGGTGGAGCACCTGGAAAGAAACAAGTGTATAATTGACAACCAGCATGGTTTCAGGGAGGGAAAATTCTGTGTCACAAACCTATTAGAGTTTTATGACAAGGTGACAGAAGTAAGACAAGAGAGAGAGAGGGGTGGATCGACTGCATTTTTTTGGACTGCAAGAAGGCCTTCGACACAGTTCCTCACAAGAGGTTACTGCAAAAGCTAGAGGATCAGGCACACATAACAGGAAAGGCACTGCAATGGATAAGAGAATACCTTACAGGGAGGCAACAACGAGTCATGGTACGTGATGAGGTGTCAAAGTGGGCGCCTGTGACAAGCGGGGTTCCACAAGGGTCAGTCTTAGGACCTGTGCTGTTCTTGGTATATGTGAATGACATAACGGAAGGGATAGACTCAGAAGTGTCCTTGTTTGCGGACGATGTGAAGTTAATGAGAAGAATCAAATCGGATGAGGATCAGGCAGGATACAAAGAGACTGGACAGGCTACAAGCCTGGTCCAGCAACTGGCTCCTTGAGTTTAACCCTGCCAAATGCAAAGTCATGAAGATTGGGGAAGGGCAAAGAAGACCGCAGACACAATATAGTTTAGATGGCCAAAGTTTGCAAACCTCACTCAAGGAAAAAGATCTGGGGGTGAGTATAACACCGAGCATATCTCCTGAGGCGCACATCAATCAGATAGCTGCTGCAGCATACGGGCGCCTGGCAAACCTACGGATAGCGTTCCGATACCTCAGTAAGGAGTCGTTCAAGACTCTGTATACCATTTACGTCAGGCCCATACTGGAGTATGCAGCACCAGTTTGGAATCCACACCTAGTCAAGCACGTCAAGAAATTAGAGAAAGTGCAAAGGTTTGCAACAAGGACTAGTCCCAGAGCTACGGGGATTGTCCTACGAAGAAAGGTTGAGGGAAATCGGCCTGACGACACTGGAGGCAGGAGGGTCAGGGGAGACATGATAACGACATATAAAATACTGAGCGGAATAGACGAGGTGGACAAAGACGGGATGTTCCAGAGATGGGACACAGACACAAGAGGTCACAATTGGAAGTTGAAGACTCAGATGAATCAAAGGGATGTTAGGAAGTATTTCTTCAGTCATAGAGTAGTCAGGCCGTGGAATAGCCTAGAAAGTGAAGTAGTGGAGGCGGGAACCATACATAGTTTTAAGGCGAGGTATGATAAAGCTCATGGAGCAGGGAGAGAGAGGACCTAGTAGCAATCAGTGAAGAGGCGGGGCCAGGAGCTATGAATCGACCCCTGCAACCACAAATAGGTGAGTACAAATAGGTGAGTACACAGTTCCACACAAGAGATTGGTGCAAAAACTGGAGGACCAAGCAGGGATAACAGGGAAGGCACTACAATGGATCAGGGAATACTTGTCAGGAAGACAGCAGCGAGTCATGGTACGTGGCGAGGTGTCAGAGTGGGCATCTGTGACCAGCGGGGTCCCACAGGGGTCAGTCCTAGGACCAGTGCTGTTTCTGGTATTTGTGAACGACATGACGGAAGGAATAAACTCCGAGGTGTCCCTGTTTGCAGATGACGTGAAGTTGATGAGAAGAGTTCATTCGATCGAAGACCAGGCAGAACTACAAAGGGATCTGGACAGGCTGCAGACCTGGTCCAGCAACTGGCTCCTGGAGTTCAATCCCACCAAGTGCAAAGTCATGAGGATTGGGGAAGGGCAAAGAAGACCGCAGACGGAGTACAGTCTAGGGGGCCAGAGACTACAAACATCACTCAAGGAAAAAGATCTTGGGGTGAGTATAACACCAGGCACATCTCCTGAAGCGCACATCAACCAAATAACTGCTGCAGCATATGGGCGCCTGGCAAACCTCAGAACAGCATTCCGACATCTTAATAAGGAATCGTTCAGGACCCTGTACACCGTGTACGTTAGGCCCATATTGGAGTATGCGGCACCAGTTTGGAACCCACACCTAGCCAAGCACGTGAAGAAACTAGAGAAAGTGCAAAGGTTTGCAACAAGACTAGTCCCAGAGCTAAGAGGTATGTCCTACGAGGAGAGGTTAAGGGAAATCAACCTGACGACACTGGAGGACAGGAGAGATAGGGGGGACATGATAACGACTTACAAAATACTGAGAGGAATTGACAAGGTGGACAAAGACAGGATGTTCCAGAGACTGGACACAGCAACACGGGGACACAGTTGGAAGCTGAAGACACAGATGAATCAAAGGGATGTTAGGAAGTATTTCTTCAGCCACAGAGTAGTCAGTAAGTGGAATAGTTTGGGAAGCGATGTAGTGGAGGCAGGATCCATACATAGCTTTAAGCAGAGGTATGATAAAGCTCATGGTTCAGGGAGAGTGACCAAGTAGCGACCAGTGAAGAGGCGGGGCCAGGAGCTTGGACTCGACCCTGCAATCTCAACTAGGTGAGTACACACACACACACACACACACACACACACACACACACACATGTGGTAATGCTTTATTTACAGCTAGCAAAGTCAGGGTGTGACGCACTCCAGTACATAATGACGCAGGGTGTGACGCACTCCAGTACATAATGACGCAGGGTGTGACGCACTCCAGTACATAATGACGCAGGGTGTGACGCACTCCAGTACATAATGACGCAGGGTGTGACGCACTCCAGTACATAATGACGCAGGGTGTGACAATAGTCCATCTGGCAAAGTTTACATTTCGTTTGGTCTACATCTGGTGGTGGTGATTTAACCTGCCATACGGTAAAGCTCTACACAGGTACATTATAAAGCTCTACAGAGGTACAAATAAAGCTCTACACCATCAATGTACACACGAATAGTAGTCACCTCTGTAGCAAGTAGCCCAAATCGGTCTTGTAGACCTCGAGTTGGTCCATGTTGTGTTGGTCTATGTAGTCCCCGGCCACTTGTTTCACGTTCTCCTTGATCACTTGGAAGTAGTCAATGTCATCACTGGGATTTGTTGGGATTAGGACGTTGATGACCTTGTCGAATATCTGGAAATGGCAGATTTGTTGAGATTAGGACGTTGATGACCTTGTCGAATATCTGGAAATGGCAGATTTGTTGAGATTAGGACGTTGATGACCTTGTGGAATATCTGGAAATAGCAGATTTGTTGAGATTAGGACGTTGATGACCTTGTCGAATATCTGGAAATGGCAGATTTGTTGAGATTAGGACGTTGATGACCTTGTCGAATATCTGGAAATGGCAGATTTGTTGAGATTAGGACGTTGATGACCTTGTCGAATATCTGGAAATGGCAGATTTGTTGAGATTAGGACGTTGATGACCTTGTGGAATATCTGGAAATAACAGATTTGTTGAGATTAGGACGTTGATGACCTTGTCGAATATCTGGAAATGTAGGTATGAGATATGTCCCCAGGATGCCACTCACAACAATCCACTAACACCCAGGTACCTATTTACTGCTAAGACAACAGGTACAGTAAGTGTTACCTGGAGTTTACCTGAAAAAACTTTCGGGGGTCAACGCCCTCGCGGCTCGGTCTGAGACCAGGCCTCATGGTGGATCAGGGTCTGATGAACCAGGCTGTTACTGCTGGCCGCACATAAACTGACGTAGGAGCCACAGCCCAGCTGGTCAAGTACTGACTTTAGGTGCCTGTCTTCAACACTTGTCCAACGTTTGGACGAAGACCTACTTCGACTAGTGGATGGTACCACTATGACCCCGCCTCGTCGTGCTTCACCTCACCTCACTACTTCGACTAGTGGATGGTACCACTATGACCCCGCCTCCTCCTGCTTCACCTCACCTCACTACTTCGACTAGTGGATGGTACCACTATGACCCCGCCTCGTCGTGCTTCACCTCACCTCACTACTTCGACTAGTGGATGGTACCACTATGACCCCGCCTCCTCCTGCTTCACCTCACCTCACTACTTCGACTAGTGGATGGTACCACTATGACCCCGCCTCCTCCTGCTTCACCTCACCTCACTACTTCGACTAGTGGATGGTACCACTATGACCCGCCTCCTCCTGCTTCACCTCACCTCACTACTTCGACTAGTGGATGGTACCACTATGACCCCGCCTCCTCCTGCTTCACCTCACCTCACTACTTCGACTAGTGGATGGTACCACTATGACCCCGCCTCGTCGTGCTTCACCTCACCTCACTACTTCGACTAGTGGATGGTACCACTATGACCCCGCCTCCTCCTGCTTCACCTCACCTCACTACTTCGACTAGTGGATGGTACCACTATGACCCCGCCTCCTCCTGCTTCACCTCACCTCACTACTTCGACTAGTGGATGGTACCACTATGACCCCGCCTCCTCCTGCTTCACCTCACCTCACTACTTCGACTAGTGGATGGTACCACTATGACCCCGCCTCCTCCTGCTTCACCTCACCTCACTACTTCGACTAGTGGATGGTACCACTATGACCCCGCCTCCTCCTGCTTCACCTCACCTCACTACTTCGACTAGTGGATGGTACCACTATGACCCCGCCTCCTCCTGCTTCACCTCACCTCACTACTTCGACTAGTGGATGGTACCACTATGACCCCGCCTCCTCCTGCTTCACCTCACCTCACTACTTCGACTAGTGGATGGTACCACTATGACCCCGCCTCCGCCTGCTTCACCTCACCTCACTACTTCGACTAGTGGATGGTACCACTATGACCCCGCCTCCTCCTGCTTCACCTCACCTCACTACTTCGACTAGTGGATGGTACCACTATGACCCCGCCTCCGCCTGCTTCACCTCACCTGACTACTTCGACTAGTGGATGGTACCACTATGACCCCACCTCCTCCTGCTTCACCTCACCTCACTACTTCGACTAGTGGATGGTACCACTATGACCCCACCTCCTCCTGCTTCACCTCACCTCACTACTTCGACTAGTGGATGGTACCACTATGACCCCGCCTCCTCCTGCTTCACCTCACCTCACTACTTCGACTAGTGGATGGTACCACTATGACCCCGCCTCCTCCTGCTTCACCTCACCTCACTACTTCGACTAGTGGATGGTACCACTATGACCCCGCCTCCTCCTGCTTCACCTCACCTCACTACTTCGACTAGTGGATGGTACCACTATGACCCCGCCTCCTCCTGCTTCACCTCACCTCACTACTTCGACTAGTGGATGGTACCACTATGACCCCGCCTCCTCCTGCTTCACCTCACCTCACTACTTCGACTAGTGGATGGTACCACTATGACCCCGCCTCCTCCTGCTTCACCTCACCTCACTACTTCGACTAGTGGATGGTACCACTATGACCCCGCCTCCTCCTGCTTCACCTCACCTCACTACTTCGACTAGTGGATGGTACCACTATGACCCCGCCTCCTCCTGCTTCACCTCACCTCACTACTTCGACTAGTGGATGGTACCACTATGACCCCGCCTCCTCCTGCTTCACCTCACCTCACTACTTCGACTAGTGGATGGTACCACTATGACCCCGCCTCCTCCTGCTTCACCTCACCTCACTACTTCGACTAGTGGATGGTACCACTATGACCCCGCCTCCGCCTGCTTCACCTCACCTCACTACTTCGACTAGTGGATGGTACCACTATGACCCCGCCTCCTCCTGCTTCACCTCACCTCACTACTTCGACTAGTGGATGGTACCACTATGACCCCGCCTCCGCCTGCTTCACCTCACCTGACTACTTCGACTAGTGGATGGTACCACTATGACCCCACCTCCTCCTGCTTCACCTCACCTCACTACTTCGACTAGTGGATGGTACCACTATGACCCCACCTCCTCCTGCTTCACCTCACCTCACTACTTCGACTAGTGGATGGTACCACTATGACCCGCCTCCTCCTGCTTCACCTCACCTCACTACTTCGACTAGTGGATGGTACCACTATGACCCCGCCTCCTCCTGCTTCACCTCACCTCACTACTTCGACTAGTGGATGGTACCACTATGACCCCGCCTCCTCCTGCTTCACCTCACCTCACTACTTCGACTAGTGGATGGTACCACTATGACCCCGCCTCCTCCTGCTTCACCTCACCTCACTACTTCGACTAGTGGATGGTACCACTATGACCCCGCCTCCTCCTGCTTCACCTCACCTCACTACTTCGACTAGTGGATGGTACCACTATGACCCCGCCTCCTCCTGCTTCACCTCACCTCACTACTTCGACTAGTGGATGGTACCACTATGACCCCGCCTCCGCCTGCTTCACCTCACCTGACTACTTCGACTAGTGGATGGTACCACTATGACCCCGCCTCCGCCTGCTTCACCTCACCTCACTACTTCGACTAGTGGATGGTACCACTATGACCCGCCTCCTCCTGCTTCACCTCACCTGACTACTTCGACTAGTGGATGGTACCACTATGACCCCGCCTCCGCCTGCTTCACCTCACCTCACTACTTCGACTAGTGGATGGTACCACTATGACCCCGCCTCCTCCTGCTTCACCTCACCTCACTACTTCGACTAGTGGATGGTACCACTATGACCCCGCCTCCTCCTGCTTCACCTCACCTGACTACTTCGACTAGTGGATGGTACCACTATGACCCCGCCTCCTCCTGCTTCACCTCACCTGACTACTTCGACTAGTGGATGGTACCACTATGACCCCGCCTCCGCCTGCTTCACCTCACCTCACTACAGTATACAAGCCACGTCTACGACCCTGTGCTGTACTTTCTACAAGATTGATAGACTGAACACATCGACTCCAGGTTGAGGGACTGATTACCTCAACCTCCTCCTCTCCTTACAGCTTTCTGCTTTGCATTGGACTGATGAAGTCACTGTGTGGCGAAATGTTTCCTGAATAAAGGTTCCCATATGCCGCATAAGTGTCTCAATCTTCAACTTGTCGGTTTTCAAAACCATTCATCACCTCTGTAATGTTGAGGTACAGTCCCTGGACCCATTATGTACCTCTGTAATGTTGAGGTACAGTCCCTGGACCCATTATGTACCTCTGTAATGTTGAGGTACAGTCCCTGGACTCATTATGTACCTCTGTAATGTTGAGGTACAGTCCCTGGACTCATTATGTACCTCTGTAATGTTGAGGTACAGTCCCTGGACCCATTATGTACCTCTGTAATGTTGAGGTACAGTCCCTGGACTCATTATGTACCTCTGTAATGTTGAGGTACAGTCCCTGGACTCATTATGTACCTCTGTAATGTTGAGGTACAGTTCCTGGACTCATTATGTACCTCTGTAATGTTGAGGTACAGTCCCTGGACCCATTATGTACCTCTGTAATGTTGAGGTACAGTCCCTGGACTCATTATGTACCTCTGTAATGTTGAGGTACAGTCCCTGGACTCATTATGTACCTCTGTAATGTTGAGGTACAGTTCCTGGACTCATTATGTACCTCTGTAATGTTGAGGTACAGTTCCTGGAGCCATTATGTACCTCTGTAATGTTGAGGTACAGTCCCTGGACCCATTATGTACCTCTGTAATGTTGAGGTACAGTCCCTGGACCCATTATGTACCTCTGTAATGTTGAGGTACAGTCCCTGGACCCATTATGTACCTCTGTAATGTTGAGGTACAGTTCCTGGAGCCAATATGTACCTCTGTAATGTTGAGGTACAGTCCCTGGACCCATTATGTACCTCTGTAATGTTGAGGTACAGTTCCTGGAGCCATTATGTACCTCTGTAATGTAGAGGTACAGTCCCTGGACCCATTATGTACCTTTGTAATGTTGAGGTACAGTCCCTGGACCCATTATGTACCTCTGTAATGTTGAGGTACAGTCCCTGGACCCATTATGTACCTCTGTAATGTAGAGGTACAGTCCCTGGACCCATTATGTGCCTCTGTAATGTTGAGGTACAGTCCCTGGACCCATTATGTACCTCTTTAATGTTGAGGTACAGTCCCTGGACCCATTATGTACCTCTGTAATCTTTTAACTGCCGCCCACAGGATGGGTATGGGGTGACTACCGCCCACAGGATGGGTATGGGGTGACTACCGCCCACAGGATGGGTATGGGGTGACTACCGCCCACAGGATGGGTATGGGGTGACTACCGCCCACAGGATGGGTATGTGGTGACTACCACCCACAGGATGGGTATGTGGTGACTAACGCCCACAGGATGGGTATGGGGTAACTACCGCCCACAGGATGGGTATGGGGTACACAATAAACATATTAAACTAACTGTACCTTTGTAGTTAATTAAATGGTATACCTGGAGGGGGTTTCAGGGGGTCAACGCCCCCTCAGCCCGGTCCGTTGTGTGAGTTTCTGTATAAAACACAGGGGATGGGGGTTCTCTAAGAGGCACGTTAGCTCCCTCTCTTCTAATATGTTATTCTCCCCTATAATCTACTTTATCCATAATTACTATCGTATTTATTTAGTCTGTTTTAGCTAAACGAAGTCCAGGATCTTACCTTAATTCATGGCATAACTTAAATCTTTGAGGATAATTGTGTTTAGAGGTGTGAGAGCAGCTGAGACAGTGAGGACACTGTGAGACTCCAAGTAACAATGTGAAGTTCAACGAGGAGAAATTTCAACTACTACTGTATCAGGTATATGACATATTCTAACCATACAATAGAGCGATAAAGTAATGTGAAGGACCTGGGAGTGATAATGTCAGAGGATCTCAACTCAAAGATGACAACAATGTATCTACCTCATCTGCTAGAAAAATGATAGGATGGATAACGAGAACCTTCAAAACTAGGGACGCCAAGCCCATGATGATTCTCTTCAAATCGCTTGTGCTCTCTAGGCTGGAATATTGCTGTACACTAACTGCCTCCTTCAAGGCTGGCGACTTTACACACCTGGAGAGTGTACAAAGAACTTTCATGGCATAAGCGCGATAAGGCACCTAAACTACTGGGAATAGTTGGAGGTCCTTGACCTGTACTCCCTAGAAAGTAGGCGAGAGAGATACATGATAATATAAACTTGGAAAATCCTAGAGGAACTAGTACCAAACTTGCACACGAAAATTACTCCCAATGAAAGCAAAAGATTCGACAGGAGATGCAACATTCCTCCAGTGAAAAGCAGAGGTGTCACTAGCACGATAAGAGACAACACAGTAAGTGTCAGGGGCCCAAGACTATTCAACTGCCTCCCAGCATACATAAGGGGGATTACCAATAGACCCCTGGTTGTCTTCAAGACCCCTGGTTGTCTTCAAGACCCCTGGCTGTCTTCAAGACCCCTGACTGTCTTCAAGACCCGTGACTGTCTTCAAGACCCCTGGCTGTGTTCAAGACCCCTGACTGTCTTCAAGACCCCTGGCTGTGCTCAAGACCCCTGGTTGTCTTCAAGACCCCTGACTGTCTTCAAGACCCCTGGCTGTGCTCAAGATCCCTGACTGTCTTCAAGACCCCTGGTTGTCTTCAAGACCCCTGACTGTCTTCAAGACCCCTGACTGTCTTCAAGACCCCTGACTGTCTTCAAGACCCCTGACTGTCTTCCAGAAGCCACTGGACAGGCACCTAAAGTCAGTACCTGACCAACCGGGCTGTGCTTCATACATCAGCTTGCATGCAGACAGCAGTAACAACCTGTTTAATCAGACCCTGATCCACCATGAGGCCTGATCACAAACCAAGCCGCGGGGGCGTTGACCACCGAAACCCTCTCCAGGTACCCTCCAGGTACTCTCCAGGTACCCTCCAGGTAACAAGATAAGATAAGATAAGATAAGATTTCGTTCGGATTTTTAACCCCGGAGGGTTAGCCACCCAGGATAACCCAAGAAAGTCAGTGCGTCATCGAGGACTGTCTAACTTATTTCCATTGGGGTCCTTAATCTTGTCCCCCAGGATGCGACCCACACCAGTCGACTAACACCCAGGTACCTATTTGCTGCTAGGTGAACAGGACAACAGGTGTAAGGAAACGTGTCGGAATTTCCACCCGCCGGGAATCGAACCCGGGCCCTCCGTGTGTGAAGCGGGAGCTTTAGCCACCAGTCTGTATCCACAATCCCTGGCCATCGTTGCAAGTGATTCTGAATACACCTACAGACGGCTGATCCCGAGGGAGGGAGGGAGAGATACATGATTATATACACCTGGAAAATCCTAGAGGGACTAGTACCGAACTTGCACACGAAAATCACTCACTACGAAAGCAAAAGACTTGGCAGACGATGCACCATCCCCCCAATGAAAAGCAGGGGTGTCACTAGCACGTTAAGAGACCATACAATAAGTGTCAGGGGCCCGAGACTGTTCAACTGCCTCCCAGCACACATAAGGGGGATTACCAACAGACCCCTGGCAGTCTTCAAGCTGGCACTGGACAAGCACCTAAAGTCAGTTCCTGATCAGCCGGGCTGTGGCTCGTACGTTGGTTTGCGTGCAGCCAGCAGCAACAGCCCGGTTGATCAGGGGCTGATCCACCAGGAGGCCTGGTCACAGACCGGGCCGCGGGGGCGTTGACCCCCGAAACTCTCTCCAGGTAAACTCCAGGTTGAAAAGAGTAGATGATATTGTGTCTGCCGTTTACAGTGTCTGTTGTAGTGACGAAGCTTGGGAAATACTAATTGGCTAAATGGGCCTTGTTGCTGAAGGAATTCACTGCTGCATATAGAGAGGGAACGCAGGAAAAACTCTGTGATATATACTGTTAGCACAACAGTACTAACAGTAAGGGGGAAAACAGTAACATAACAGCGTCGTAAAATGGTAAACAGGACTCGTTAGGAAACACTGACAATAGGGGAACTGACAACGGTAGAAGCAACGGTAACACCTCGCTAATGAACAACGGAAACTCCAACAGGAACAACGGAAACTCTAACGGGTGCCCAACAGAAATTCTAACAGATGCAATGAATATACTAGTAAAACAGATTAGTGATTAAACTAGAAAGATGCAACGGGAAAACCAGAAAAACAGCACCAACAGTACCTTTAAACGGCAACAACGACAACGGAAAAACAACATATAGGTTAATTACCGTCAACAGGAGAAACGGTAACAGCAGTATCAGCAACACTAAAAGAAACCCAACCACCAACAGAACCAACAGTAACAAAAACAGTAGAAGCAACAGGATTTCCATAACAGGAGAAACAGTAAGTGAAACAAAATCTAACACATAACAGAACAGAGGTAACGGTATTAACAACAGAAGCAACAATAACAGAAGCATCAGTAACGGTATAGAAACCCACTGTAGGAACAACAGGAGCAACAGGAGCAACAGGAGTACTCACAGAACTGGTGGACATCAACCCCCTCATGTAGTAAGCAGTGGCCAGTCCTATTGTAGTTTCTGTAAATAATAATAATAATAATAATAATAATAATTATCATAATATTAATAATAATTTGGTGTAGTGGGGCTGGTGAAAGGGCTTTTGATTCGGGGAAGAGGAGTTAGCCTCATCTCCTCTGATCAAACCTAATCTCGTTGACCTGAAGTCTGAGATATCATATATACCTTACCCATGCCATCAATGTTGACATCTTGCTGTCCTAGCTTCTGGGAGTGCTGGGAGGAGGCGATCCCAGCAGCTGGGTGCCCAGCTAGGCGCCCCTGGGAGAGGGCCAGGAGCTGGACGCCAACGAACATAAGGACGGTGTTCTTCATGTCTTCGGGGCAAGATGGCTACTGACCGAGTCTCAGGGTGTAGCGGTGGATATCAGTCACTCTGTTCCCAAGGGCATCCAAGGGCTTCCAAGGGCATGACAGGGTATTTAATGGGTACACAAGGGGGTATCAGTGGTGGGTGCCAAGGGGAGGAGGGTAGGAAAATAAAGATAATCGTTTATCTATTGGGAAAATGTACTCTTAAGAACAGATGTCGTCTTGGTGCGTATATACCAAGGAGTGTGTATATCACAGTTTATATACCCTGAGATGTGTATATCACAGTGTATATATACTGAGAGGTGTATATCACAGTTTATATACACTGAGATGTGTATATCTCTGTGTATATATACTGAGAGGTGTATATCACAGTGTATATATACTGAGAAGTGTATATCACAGTGTATATACACTGAGATGTGTATATCTCTGTGTATATATACTGAGAGGTGTATATCACAGTGTATATATACTGAGAAGTGTATATCACAGTGTATATACACTGAGAAGTGTATATCACAGTGTATATACACTGAGAAGTGTTATCTACAGTGTATATACACTGAGAAGTGTATATCACAGTGTATATACCCTGAGATGTGTATATCTCTCAGTGTATATACCCTGAGATGTGTATATCACAGTGTATATACACTGAGAAGTGTATATCACAGTGTATATACACTGAGAAGTGTATATCACAGTGTATATACACTGAGAAGTGTATATCACAGTGTATATACACTGAGATGTGTATATCACAGTGTATATACACTGAGATGTGTATATCACAGTGTATATACCCTGAGATGTGTATATCTCTCAGTGTATATATACTGAGAAATGTATGTCTCAGTGTATATACCCTGAGATGTGTATATCACAGTGTATATACACTGAGATGTGTATATCACAGTGTATATACCCTGAGATGTGTATATCTCTCAGTGTATATATACTGAGAAATGTATGTCTCAGTGTATATACCCTGAGATGTGTATATCTCTCAGTGATCATACAGTCAGAAGTGTATATCACAGTTTATATACACTGAGAAGTGTATATCAGAGTGTATATACACTGAGAAGTGTATATCACAGTGTATATACACTGAGAAGTGTATATCAGAGTGTATATACACTGAGAAGTGTATATCAGAGTGTATATACACTGAGAAGTGTATATCACAGTGTATATACACTGAGAGGTGTATATCACAGTGTATATACACTGAGAGGTGTATATCTCAGTGTATATACACTGAGAGGTGTATATCACAGTGTATATACACTGAGAGGTGTATATCTCAGTGTATATACACTGAGAGGTGTATATCACAGTGTATATACACTGAGATATGTATATCTCTCGGTGATCATACACTGAGAGGTGTATATCTCAGTGTATATACACTGAGAGGTGTATATCACAGTGTATATACACTGAGATGTGTATATCACAGTGTATATACACTGAGAAGTGTATATCACAGTGTATATACACTGAGAAGTGTATATCACAGTGTATATACACTGAGAAGTGTATATCACAGTGTATATACACTGAGATATGTATATCTCTCGGTGATCATACACTGAGAGGTGTATATCTCAGTGTATATACACTAAGATGTGTATGGTACAGTATATCCCAGGTTCTCTACACACATGCTGCTATGTATGATAATTCTATGTACCTGTATTTGTGTATACCTAAATAAACCTACTTACTTACTTAAACCTAAGTAACCCTCGTCTAGTAGATAGGTACCGCACCTTATTACTAACATCTGAGTCGAGAGGACGCAGATATTATTCACAATGTTTTATATATTACATAGGTAATAAACACCCCAGCAAAAGCATTGTAACCTTCAAAAATAACAGGAAAGGAGAATCCTGGGAAGAGGTTCCAAGTCCATCACCTGAGTTTCTCTCATAACTTAAGTGATTGTATGTTTTCCTAGCGTTAGTTAGGTGTCCCGTAGGTGGATCACTGGTGCCCTCACCTTACATCCCCACCCACACTGTCTTCCCCACCACCCACACTGTCTTCCCCACCACCCACACTGTCTTCCTCACCACCCACACTGTCTTCCCTACCACCCACACTGTCTTCCCCACCACCCACACTGTCTTCCTCACCACCCACACTGTCTTCCCCACACCCACACTGTCTTCCACACCACCCACACTGTCTTCCTACCACCCACACTGTCTTCCCCACCCCCACACTGTCTTCCCCACCACCCACATGTTTCCCTACCACCCACACTGTCTTCCCACTACCCACACTGTCTTCCCCACCACCACACTGTCTTCCCAGCACCCACACTGTCTTCCCCACCACCCACACTGTCTTCCCACCACCCACATGTCTCCCCACCACCCACACTGTCTTCCACACCACCCACACTTTCCCTACCACCCACACTGTCTTCCCCACCACCCACACTGTCTTCCCCACCACCCACACTGTCTTCCCTACCACCCACACTGTCTTCCCCACTACCACACTGTCTTCCCCACCACCACACTGTCTTCCCCACCACCCACACTGTCTTCCCCACCACCCACACTGTCTTCCCCACCACCACACTGTCTTCCCACCACCCACACTGTCTTCCCCACCACCCACACTGTCTTCCCCACCACCCACACTGTCTTCCCCACCACCCACACTGTCTTCCCCACCACCCACACTGTCTTCCCACCACCCACACTGTCTTCCCCACCACCCACACGTCTTCCCCACCACCCACACTGTCTTCCCCACCACCCCACACTGTCTTCCCCACCACCACACTGTCTTCCCCACCACCCACACTGTCTTCCCCACCACCCACACTGTCTTCCCCACCACCACACTGTCTTCCCCACTACCCACTCTGTCTTCCCCACCACACACGTCGTCTTCCCCACCACCACACTGTCTTCCCACTACCCACACTGTCCTCCCCACCACCCACACTGTCTTCCCCACCACCCACACTGTCTTCCCCACCACCCACACTGTCTTCCCCACCACCCACACTGTCTTCCTCACCACCCACACTGTCTTCCCCACCACCCACACTGTCTTCCCCACCACCCACACTGTCTTCCCCACCACCCACACTGTCTTCCCCACCACCCACACTGTCTTCCCCACCACCACACTGTCTTCCCCACTACCCACACTGTCTTCCCCACCACCACACTGTCTTCCCCACCACCACACTGTCTTCCCCACTACCCACACTGTCCTCCCACACACCCACACTGTCTTCCCCACCCCCACACTGTCTTCCCACACCCACACTGTCTTCCCCACCACCCACACTGTCTTCCCCACCACCACACTGTCTTCCCCCACCACCCACACTGTCTTCCCTACCACCACACTGTCTTCCCCACCACCCACACTGTCTTCCCCACCACCCACACTGTCTTCCCCACCACCCACTGTCTTCCCCACCACCCACACTGTCTTCCCCACCACCCACACTGTCTTCCCCACCACCCACACTGTCTTCCCCACCACCCACACTGTCTTCCCCCCACCCAACTGTCTTCCCCACCACCACACTGTCTTCCCCACTACCCACACTGTCCTCCCCACACCCAACACTGTCTTCCCCACCACCACACTGTCTTCCCCAACCACCCACACTGTCTTCCCCACCACCCACACTGTCTTCCCCACACCCACACTGTCTTCCCCTCCACCCACTGTCTTCCCCACCACCCACAACTGTCTTCCACACCACCCACACTGTCTTCCTCACCACCCACACTGTCTTCCCACCACCCACAGTCTTCCCACCCTCACACTGTCTTCCCCACCACCACACTGTCTTCCCCACCACCCACACTGTCTTCCCCACCACCCACACTGTCTTCACCACCACCCACAATGTCTTCCCCACCACCATCTGTCTTCCCCACACCCACACTGTCTTCCCCACCACCCACACTGTCTTCCCCACCACCCACACTGTCTTCCCCACCACCCACACTGTCTTCCCCACCACCCACACTGTCTTCCCCACCACCCACACTGTCTTCCCACCACCCACACTGTCTTCCCCACCACCCACACTGTCTTCCCCACCACCCACACTGTCTTCCCCATCCACCCACTGTCTACCCATCACAAACACTGTCTTCCCACCACCCATCCTGTCTTCCCATCACCCACACTGTCTTTCCCATCACGCACACTGTCTTCCCCATCACCCACACTGTCTTCCCCACCACCCATCCTGTCTTCCCCACCACCCACACTGTCTTCCCCACAACCCACCTGTCTTCCCCACCACCCATGCTGTCTTCCCCACCACCCACACTGTCTTCCCCACCACCCACACTGTCTTCCCCACCCACATGCTGTCTTCCCCACCACCCACACTGTCATCCCATCACCCACACTGTCTTCCCCATCACCCACACTGTCTTCCCCACCACCCATGCTGTCTACCCCACCACCCACACTGTCTTCCCCACCACCATGCTGTCTTCCCCACCACCCACACTGTCATCCCACCACCCAAATGACTTCCCCACAACCATGCTGTCTTCCCCATACACACCACACTGTCTTCCCAAAACCCACACTGTCTTACCCACCACCACCACTGTCTTCCCCACCACCCACACTGTCTTCCCCACCCCCACACTGTCTTCCCCACAACCCAGCTGTCTTCCCCACACCCACACTGTCTTCCCCACCACCCACACTGTCTTCCCCACCACCCATGCTGTCTTCCCCAACCCACACTGTCTTCCCCACCACCACACTGATTCCCCACCACCCACACTGTCTTCCCCACCACCCATTGCTGTCTTCCCCACCACCCACACTGTCTTCCTCCACCAACCACACTGTCTTCCCCACCACCACACTGTCTTCCCCACACCCATGCTGTCTTCCCACCACCCACACTGTCTTCCTCACAACCACACTGTCTTCCCCACCACCCACACTGTCTTCCCCACCACCGACACTGTCTTCCCCACCACCCACACTGTCTTCCCCACCACCCATGCTGTCTTCCCCACACCCACACTGTCTTCCCCACCACCCACACTTTCTTCCCCACCACCCACACT